TAAATATCTATTTCATCTATATTTAGATTGAAGCTATGATATAATATTAAAATCAAATACTTTTTTTATTTTTTTTAAAGTAGATTTTTAGATAAAAAATCTCTAAGAATTCTTATATACTTTTATTTTTAAATCTTTAAGAAGATTACTAAAATGTCAAAAGTATTTAAAGAGTTTAACAGTTTATAAAAATTAAACTAAGATATAATAACTCTGACTGAGAAAAATATAAAATCAAAAAATTTTATATTAAAGAAATAATTTTTTATAATAATTGAGAAGAATTCAAATCAGATATATTAAATAATTACTAATGTTATAAATGAAGTAAAAGGTATTTTAAAAACAGTTAAAGCAGAACAAAATGAGTAGAGAAAGTAAATAAGTGAACTTGATTAGTAAATAAACAGTTTAATAAAGAAATGAAATATATTACAGCAGATTGTAAACTTTTAACCTCTTAAATCAGACTAATAAACACTTAACAGATATAATAATCAGTTAAACTTAATAACTTTAAGTATTTTATTAATGACAAAGAATTAGTATTTAAAAACTAACTTTTTTAAATAAAATACAAGCTACCTGTTAATATAAACTACTTTTCAACTGAAGAAAGCTGTATTATCTATATTAAAAACTAAATCAATAATAAAGTTATCAGATACTTAGTTTCAAAAATGAAAAAAAATTATTTTAAAAAGTTTAAAACAGTTGAGAAAGTGTTTAAGTATCTATAAAAATTATATAAAAATGCCAATAAGCTTAATAATATAAAGATGAAATACTGATAACTAATAATAAAAAATGAAAATAACTATTATATATTTATAATTAAGTTCTTATATCTGACTAATAAAGTTTAAGTTTATAATAAAGATTATAAAATAGATTTTCTATATAAGATTTTCTTTGATCTTTAATATATAATTGCAGCAGTCTGTATTACTTACAGTACTTCTTATAAGATTCAAGAAATCTGCATCAGAACAGCTTACTATTTTAAAGATATACTTAGTCAAAATAACTGATAATTGCTCAACTATAAAAAAACTTCTATAATCTGAATTAATTATAAGAAAACTTCTTCAACTTGAAATCATAAATTGACTTTAATCATACTAGTATAGATAATTAAAAATAGATTAAAAAATAAGAATTAAAAAAGAAATATAAAATCAGATTGCAAAAAGCTAAACTATAAATAAGTATTTTAAAATATAAATTTTATATTTAATAGATAAAATACTTGAGTTTTATTATCACTGATCAAAGAATTAAAGTAAATTCAAAAAAAATTACAATATTATCATGATGAGCAGTATCTAGTATAGTTAAAAGAGTTCAATTCTTCTTAAAATTCTATAACTTCTATTAATATTTTATTAAGGAATATAATTAGATTATAAGGTCACTATTTAAACTCATATAAAAGAATCAGTCTTTCACGTGAAATTAGATCTGTTAGTATATCTTTAATTAAATAAAAAAAGTTCTGTTTAAAGTCTCAGTGCTTTATCTTTATAATTCAAATCAAAAAATATAGATAAAGATGAATATACTAAATAATGTTATAGCTAATATTCTATCTCAACTATATAAAAATGAATAGTAATATTTTATTGTCTTCTGCTTAGTTTCTATGAGTGAAGTAGAGAGAAACTATGAAATTCATAATAAAAAGATACTAGCAATTATGAGAATATTGATAAAATAATAAGCTGAGTTGAAAGATCTTGAGAAAATAAAAAGATTTAAGATTCTGACTGATCATTGAGCTTTTGAGTACTTCATGATAACTAATAATCTTAATATCCGATAAGTATGATGAGCAGAGTTTCTCTTCTGATTCTACTTTCTAATTCAATATCAGCTCAGGCATCAAAGTACATTAGCAGATGTACTAAGTCAGTCAGAGATTTAAAAAGATAGCAATAATACTCAGATATAACTGTTTCTCAAGTCAAAGAGATTGAATCTCAAAATCATTAAGAAATTCATTAAGATTAAAGCTATAGATATGAGTAAGTATATTCTTAATAAAGTCAAAACAAGAAATATAAAGATAAAATTATTAAGATTATACTATGAGAAAGCACAATGAGAAAAATAGTATTGAGAACTGATAGATGAACTTTTATATTTTGAAAAGCACTTAGTGATATCAATTAAGAAAGATTCTACTGTTCAGATATATCTTCTAAAAGAAATTCATAAACAGTTATTAACAGTGCATTCTGGGAAAGAAAAGCTATACTTGCTATTGAAGATAAGATATTATTGAAATAAATAAATTAAAAATATTGACTAGTATATAAAAAATTGATTGATGTGCTGATGAATAAAAATTTTTTATAATAGAACTTCAGAACTGCTAAAGCTACTATCAATCTTTAACAGAGCCTAGTAACATATATCTATAAACTTTATAAATAATTCTATGATAAAATAAAATTACAATATAATATTGATAATTATCTATTAACTAAGTAAAAAGTTTGTATCTATTCTCATTATAAGAAAGACAGATGTTAAAGAGCTGGTAAAACTGTTTTTGAAGCACTACTATGAGTATTATAAAGTATCAGATTCAATTATATTAGATTATGAATTATAATTCATCTTAGACTTTTAAAGTAAGTTCATCAAATAATTAAGAGTTAACTTAAAGCTATTATTAGCTCATTATATGCAAATAGATAATCAGACTAAGATTATCAATTAATATCTGATGATCAAGCTTCATTCATATATAAACTACTATCAGAACAACTGAAATAAGTGATTATCAATGATAAATCATATGACTAAAGCTCTGATAAATAAATCAACTGAGATAATATTTTTTCAAACTGCTTATAGATATAAATCTCAAATATTTTTTTATTGAAAGTTACTATCAAGAATATTATATAGAGAAGAGAAGCTTAAATAAAAAAAATATTCAGTAGTATATTATTCAAATAAAAAAAATCTAAAAGCAGACAGCTGATAATATGAAAAAAATATAAAAAGATCATAAAATTATATATCAATAAATATCATCAGAAATCAAACTTTGAAATAGAAGATAAAGTCTTTTTGTTACTCAAGAACTATAGAATTCAACATTCTAGCAGAAAGCTTATAAAGCAAAATAAGAGCTTCTTTAATATAATTGAGAGAGTTGATAACAGTTATAGATTAAAACTATTAAACAGTATAAAGATTCACTCAATATTCTCTTCTAATAAACTATAGAAAGCTGTGAATAACTCTCTACTGAGATAACTAAATAAAATATCAGAACTGATCAAAATATAGAATAAAAATAAGTAAGAAGTTGAGAATATTCTAGCAAACTGAGTCTGTTATGAGAAGCTTTAATACTGAATAAAATAACTAGAATTTGATGATTCAATATAATATTCAACATAAAATTTAATAGAATCTCTATATCTGATTTGAGAGTTTCATGCTGCAAATTCAATGAAAGCAGAGCTATCAAAGCAATTAAGTAAATAACTGAAAGCTTGAGAAAAGAATAACTATCTAGCAGATAAAATAAATGATAATCTACCAGCATAAGAGCATGTTTAGACTTCAAGAGAGGATAATATGATAATGTAGAATGAGCTCTATAGCCTTCTCAATAGTATAAAACTAAGGTAAACAGTAATCACAATTGTATAAACATAGAAATCACAAACTGCCTAGGCATCAATATAGTAATTAACCTCACAATTACCTCATATATAAATAATATATAAATGTGGCAATCACATGGTAACTGCACTAAAAAAGAGTTATATAAACAGAGTTTTCCTTGAACTCATCTTTTAGAAATGATCTTAATATTCACTTAAATAGTTTATATAGTTAACAATTAAATATCTGTTCATCTGTATCTAGATTGAAGCTGTGACAATATTAGTAAAAACTTTTATTAAAAATAAATATTTTAAAAAATTATAATTTATATTTTTAAAAAAAAAAATCTTTAAATATTTTAACTTTTAATAAAGAGTAAAAATTTTTAAATTTTATTTTTAAAATAAAAGTATTTTAATTTTATTATTAAAGTAAAATCTTTTTACTTTTATAAATAAAAAAATAATTTTATTAAAAAAAAAGAAAATAAAAGAAAAAAATTATAAATTTATATATAAAATTTTATATAAATTAGATCAGAAAAATAATTCAGATAAAAAATTTTAATTATAAAAATTATTATTTAAATATTAATCTATTACTAGTAGTAATTATAATAATAATAAAATATTTAATTTCAAAGTAAATTAAATTAATAATTAAATTATTTAATATTAATTTATATTATAAGTATTATATTATATATATATATATATATATAATATATGAAAATAAAAGTAATTTAAAAAAAGTTTATCTATCTTAAAAACAGTTTTAAAAGCATCACATAGCATTTAATGCTGAAGTGATTTGATCTGCACCTAGATACTCCTTACTGAAATTTACATATGTTTGTATATAGTAATTTGACATTAAAGACAAACTTTCCCTCCACATGGATTTGTCCCAAATAATGCAAACAACTGATGTATTCGGATGCAAGTTAGGGCAAGATGTCAGAGGCCCTAAGATGCCAAATGAATGTCGTACTATTCTGTCTTTGGACTAGCGCTGCTGACATAACCAGATCAAGCGGCAAAACCTCTTTTCTGCCCGCATTTGCTGCTGCATACAAACCCGAATTTCCTGAAAATCATTGAATACCGCAATCGCAGTAATTCCCCAGCGTGGGCGGGGTAAAAAGAATATCAGTTCCCTTGCAATATGCTTCGTGCTGGAGGATTGCCAGTGAAGTGATGCTTCTCTGACTGAGCCCTTTTATAGGTGCTTCCGCTGCCGGTACAGTTCAAGCAGACTCCCTTCTAAAGTCACAAGAGCCTCCAAGCCCTACTTCTGCGCCCTATCCCTAAACCCTCATTTCTTCTCCTGGAAGTCCGACTGGAACGATCTGCCGACAACGCCCGCCCAGCATGGCCAACCCTCAAGCCTTAGACCTCTCCACCAGAACAACTCCAGAGCATATCCATATAGCTGCATTAGAGAGCAATGGTGGGTTTCCAATGTTTACAACATAATACACCTACCTACTGCATATTTCATGTTTTATATTTTTTCCCTTCTAGCTTTAGCCTTTTTTTTGAAGCTCCGTTGCTCATCCAACCATCCTCTTTGCAACTAGGAAATTTGAGGGTTGCTGTAGAGATGACCATGAGATACTGTGAATGATTGTGTTCTAACTGCTATTTGCCATAATAGGAGCTGCTAAAATCACTCATGCACTTGAACATGATGACCTCAACACATCACCTCCAGCCGCAAAAAGGCGACGATCGAGCTCTGCTAATGAGACAGCTCTGGAACTGCCTGACACAGCAGATAAACCACAGTTGGAAGCAATTGTAGAGCAGAAGGATCAAACTACGGCAGCGGTGTTATCAATACTCCCTACCTCCCCAGACACAAAAGTTGAGCTCAACGGCAGCCCCGATAATCTGGACGAAAAGAAACCAACTGGCCTGCTATCCGGTGTTCAAGGAAACGTTGTCTCCGCCGCATTCGCCCAGAGCCGGCTAGGACCAGACGTTGCGGAGGTCATTTCGAACATCATGAGTTATTCCGAGCGAGTGGAGGAACAGTATAACCGCAGCCAGCAGCTTAGGAACTCTGGCGAGACTCAACCGATAGTTTTGATCAAGGCGAATTCACAGTTAAAAACACAGAGCTTGCCAATCCTTGACAACTTGGTATGTGGTGGCTTATAATGGTTTTAGAAAGCTCAAAATTTTCAATATCCTAACAATTCTTCCAGTCAACTCAAATTTTGACATTGCTCGCCCAATCCTCTTATCAAGACTTGACCTCGATTGTTTCCGAACCCAACTCCGACAGCGGACAAGCTTATTCAACCATGAGGTCCCTATTCGACCATACCAAGAATGTATATTCGTCCAAAGGATCATTTCTATCCCCACGGGAACTAGATCTTACCGAGCCCACCCAGGTTGACATAATCAGGAAGGCCAACATGGCGTCCTTTGTGTCGAGCATTTTCGATAGCCAGGAGATCGGGTTTTCTGAATTAGATGCAAACTTTCTGGAAATATTTGTGCCCGAGGGAAGTCGATTGTTGAAGGTACAAGGTGCACTATATCTGGAACTGAAAACTCAAGCATATATCGCAGCAATGAACTCCGCGAAGCGATCGAAAACGGAACTTTTGCGTGAATTGTTTCCGGATGATCTAGAAGAAAGATTGCTTTCACGGAGACCGGGAACCAAGCAACTTGCCCCCAGTGAAACCGATTTTGTGAATCGTGCTTACTCACGACGTGATATTCTGCTCAATGAGATCGATAACCCAGCGGCCGCTACTAAGTTGCCGGAGAAATACCGTTGGGACGGCTTTTTGAGAGACCTGAGCTCGTATGTGAGCAAGAACTTTGATGCCATTAGTCATCAGCATGTATGTTCGATCTACCTTTCTCAGGGTCACTTTAAGACTCTTTGACTGTTTACTAACATATCCTTCAACAAAGACAAAAAAGCCCAGTAAAGGGCGTCCATCAACTAATGGCGAGGCACAAGAATCTCGCAATACATCTCTCGAAGGTCAATTTTCCGTTGTTCCTAACCCACCAGAGGCTGCTCCGGTTGCGCGTAGTGCTGCCCATAGCGATCTTGTGGCAAGAGCCGCACGGGCTGCGCAGATTGCTCTCCAGGGTCAAGGTGTGAGGGGAGCGGCACGGAATGCTGCCAAAATCTCTTTGCAAGCCCAGCAATCCAAACCGTCAACGTCGCCTCCCGTACCTCCGCACCAACAGCCGAAACTGCAGCCTCAGCAACAACCCCAGCAGCAGCAACAACAACAACAACCCCGGGTTCAGCAGTCGCAACAGTATCAACCATCACAGCCTTTGCAGCTACAATTCCAACAGCAGCAGCCACTGCCACCGCAACGACGGCCAACTAAACAACTACAGTTCATTCAAACTCCACAGCATGGACCGGTTGTCCCACATGTATTTCCTCAAAATCCTCAGCGGCAAGCTTCCCAGCACACATTCAATCAAGCAGCTATGACAACAACATTCTCAGCTCAACCGACACACCCCCTACCGCTACAACCAGCCCAACCAGCCCAGATTACATTCAACCAAACGCCCTTACATTTTCAACAGTACAACCCAGCCGCTGTCAGTGCCCCAGTCAGTGCCCAGGCACATGCAGCGGCAGCCAACTACGGCTACATGCCTGGCGTCCCTCATTATTCCCAGTCCCAGCCAACGCAAATTCTCTACGAAAGAGCCAGAATGGCAACAACCGCGAAGTCCTCGCCCACTAGCCGCCGAGCGGGTCTCCCCAGCCAACGTCGGCCCTGGACAACAGAAGAGGAGAATGCACTGATGGCCGGACTGGATAGAGTCAAGGGGCCCCACTGGAGCCAAATCCTAGCCATGTTTGGACCAGGTGGCACAATCAACGAAACCCTCAAGGATCGCAATCAAGTCCAACTCAAAGACAAAGCACGGAATCTAAAGTTGTTCTTTCTCAAGAGCGGTATCGAAGTGCCATACTACCTCAAATTTGTCACTGGAGAACTGAAAACCCGTGCCCCGGCACAGGCAGCCAAGCATGAAGCGCGAGAGCGTCAGCGGAGACTGGGGGATGAAGATAAAGCGCACGTGGAGGGTATTGAAGGGATGATGGCACTTGCTGGAGCGCACGGGGCGACGAACATATCTCTGGAATCGGCGCGTAGTAGCATGACTAGTTCTCCTGCGCTTGTGCAGCACCCTGACGTGCAGCAGGGGCAGGAACAGAGCATGGAGCAAGCACTAATCCAAAGCCTAGTACAAGACGCCAAGCAAGATGAGATGCGTCTCGAGCAGCAACAGGGTATACCGCAGAATATTTCACAAGGTATCGCACAGAATATGCCAGAGACTATGGTTGATCCGTCACTTCAGAACCCGCAGTGAGCTGATTCCCGGACTTGATGGTATGGAGCACAAAATCGGGACGTGAACTTCTTTTAGTGCCTTTGTTTTTCACTCCCTTTAACTTCGCACGGGTAGACATTTTAGTTTCAATCTGGAAACCGGCGCACTGATTTTGGTTTGCTATTTTCATTTACGGCAGGTTTTCGCCCCCTGGGTATTCCATTAAGCGGGCTGAAAAGGCGTCCAGAGAATAAGGGTATTCGTGGGTTGGGTAGGGTTGCTTGTTTACAAATGACATGTTTTGCAGCTGTACAACGACTTTAATTATTTCAGTTTCTTTTCTTTATTTTTTCTTTCTAAATAACCTGCTGTATGCTGAGAGTATTAAATTAAAAGTAACCGAGTCTGAAGCAGAACTGTGAAGTTCGATTCATTATTGACTTCCCTTTGTGCAAGGACTTATGAGTGAAGTAAACAGGTAAACGTCACCTTTAACTACCGGACGGAGTTCAAGCTTTCCTCTAACAATCCTCGCCCTCACCTCCATCATCACTCTACCCTATGTAACCCGTCAGCCACCCAACCAGCATCCTGTCATCCTATCTGCATCTCTGCAGCCCGACCAAGATCAGTCTAGTCATTCGGAACAAGTCGCTTAGAACCAGCCAGTCATGGCCGACTCCCAGCAGCCTTCGTCGGACGCTGTACCACCACCGCCACAACCAACGTCCCAGCCCACGCAAGCAGCAGAACAATCAACTCCAACATTCACACCTACACCGGCTACAGCTCCAGCTACAGCAGTGAACCCTGGACCCTCAAATACTCCTGACCCAAACAATACATCGACGTCTACCATTCGTACCGACGATGACACTACAAGTAACGACGTCGAGATGACCACTAATACCTCGATTACAGCACGGCCGGATGTGACGATGAGCGGGACAAGTGAAGCTGCGACTTCAGCCGCAAATGGCACCAATAATACTAATATGGTAGACAGCCAGCAATCGATGGTGACGGCGACAACGGCATCTGCAGGAGGAGTACCAACAGGATTCCTAGATACTGAAGTCAACCCAGTATCAGCTGTGGCAGTACTCCCACCGTCGAAGAAAGATACGAGTCTACGGGAGTTTCTGGGTCAGATGGATGAATACGCGCCTATCGTGAGTTTACCATTTTTGTCTCCTTGACTGCTATCTGATGGAAATGATGGAGATAATATATCAAGATGATATAACACAGCACATTTCCTCCCAAACTTCCTTTACACACCGTCCCATTGCCTTGTCACCCCCATAAACAAAACTTACAAAACTTACCAACCCCTCCAGATCCCCGACGCCGTAACAGCCCACTACCTCACGCTCGCCGGCCTCCCACCTCCAGGAAACGGCCCAAACCAAACCCCCCCACACCTCGCCCGCCTCCTCGCCCTCGCCACCCAAAAGTTTGTCGCCGACATCGCTGCAGACGCCTACCAATACTCCCGCATCCGCAGCTCCAACAGCTCCTCCTCAAACAATCCCATGGGTGCCATAAATCTTTCCACAGGTTTGCCTCAGGCGGTAGCTGGCAGCGGTGCTGGGAGTGTAGGTGCGGGTGGGGGAGGGGCTGTTGCAGCAGGAGGGGCAGGGGGTGCTGGCGGTGCTGGTGAGGGGACGAAAGGGAAGGGTGGTACAAGTGGATTGCATTTGGGTGTGCAGAGACCTGGGTTTGGAGGTGGAGGGCAGGGAGGCCAGCAGGGACGGACTGTGTTGACGATGGAGGACTTGGGGATGGCGGTTGCGGAATATGGGGTTAGTGTGAAGAGGGGGGAGTTTTATCGTTAAGATATCGCGGGGAAAGGTGGTGGTGGAGCCAAGGAAGTCGGTGGGTTTTTCCTCCATTTTTTATATTTCCGTTTATTTGGGAGGCGCGGATTTTATCTCGTTTTTTATGGGGCATGTCTTTGGGGTGGAGTTTTAGGATGTGTGGTTCCTTCATGGTGGGAAAAAAAGACGGGTTTGTTTTACTCTTGATTTATTATCATGTTATAGCATATCATACCATGTGCATTTGTTTGTTGGGAATATTAAAATCCAGATCTCTAAGAAATATTCCAGAAAAGGGAAGGAAATTTGATCCAAATTCTAATGTACAGAAAACGTATATACAGGCATTGTAAAACACCATGCCTCTCATTTCTAATGATAAAACCACAGCAACTAACGCCTACTCTATATTTTGCACCATAGTAAAAGTCAACAAGCCCATCTCCACGAGCGGACTCCTTCAACTGTTCATAACGCCAAAGCGAGTTCTCCAGAATGCCCACGAGGTACAGGGAGTCTATGTTCCAGTCCATTGCTGACCCTCAAAAAGGCCTCCCTGTCCATTCCATTCCCGAGACGGACAATCCCATTGGCTGCCAGGTAGCAAAGGTCTCAAAATGCGGGGGTCTACCAGATAACAACATATTCCTCGTGGGAAAGCAATGTAGAAAATCCATCCTGCTCCATAGTAAATTCCACACCCCCCATCCATCTACAAATGCTGCATTCAGATCCTCTTAATTCTTCGAGTGTTCATATCGGAACCGCTTCCGTGTCCTAAAACACAGAGAAAGCACAACAGATGCCATCAGTAAACCCTCCACGCAATTGGGACGCATGTAAAATAACAAAAGCGTGCATAACAGTGTTTAAACCAAGGAACATACTGTGAAAACTCCCCCAGCTTCCTCCCCACCATCTCGTCCGTGATATAAACTTCATTGTACGTCATTCCATTATGCACTGCGAACTTCAAGCCAACGAAATTGGGTAGAATAGTCGCGGAGCGCGCTTGAGTCTTAATCGCAGGCGTTCCTGGGGGTGGAGGAATTGTTTTTGGAAGGGGGAGTCTGGTAATGGTTTTTAAAAGGCAGGTTAATTTAGATACACTCCGGTATTGGGGTGACTGGGGAAACAGAACGGGAGACTCGTCAATTGATTATGCATAGACAGAGGAGTGAACTTCTCTCTATCCATCTCCCTCAATTGCGGGCCTGGGAATCGTCTTGAGATAGGAGACTGAACGTACGGAACAATATTGGGACCTAAACGGAACAGCCAACGATTAGATCGGGATCAGTTGATTGCGCTGTGGAATTAGAGCCTACCCTTCCATACTGATCGCTTAAACAGCGCGCGTGTAGGAAACATCTCGAATCAATTTTGCCGTGCTGATCCCTTGCTTAATATCCAACCATACACATGCTCAACTGCAGAGCGCGAAGGTTCCGTTGCTCCACCTGAATTCCTGAGATCCCGCCCAGGTTCACTCGGTAACGGAAATAGCTTAATCCGGAACTTGAACTTTGGATTATGTAATCAGTATAAACCAACCCCCTTTTCATCCACACGGGGATTAGGGCAATTTGGGGAGGGTTCCGACCAAATCTCATCCTCACCTCAACTCCTTTTATTTTCTGAGGTTGGAGTTGCATGATTTGTAATTCTCACACTATCCAGCTCTGTGCACAATTCAGCTTGCTATGATGTTTGATAAGAGATGCCAGACACCAGAAATATTTGAGCCATGCCTCCTCTGGAGCCGATACTCTGGGGCTGAGACTCATCATATCTCCAAGAGGAAGTGGATTGCTAAGAGAAGGAGACATTTGCTTGCTTCCAATGTTTCTACATGCTCATTTGAGCCTGAAATGTTATATAACTCTCTCCACAACGACATCTAACTAGTGAATGCTGAAAATGGCTCTCGAGGGTTTTTCTTTTATTGGTTCTCTATATCGACACTGCAATTAAGCTTTATACGCTGAAATGATACAGTTTGTCATTCTTTGGCAAAATTTATGGCTCTTTCCTCCAGTCATGTTGCGAGTTGGACACGGAGGGAGCTGCTTTTCAGTGTTTTGTTGGCAATTGTTGAAGATAAGCCTACAACCTTACAAACTTCAACTTTACATGTCTTCTTTTTGAATATGTTGAAACTCTTTCAATATATACCTATTTTGAAATTGAATTTCTTCAAAACATTGCAGCTCCAAATCCCTCACTTAACCACGATGGCAGCTGCCAAACCTCTATCGGTTTGAAGACCCTAGAGCGAGGCTAGAATCAGCCATCGATGAGCAACCAAGGGAATACGCAAACGCCTACACTCTACACTCTACATTTTTTTTTTTCTTTCGAAGCGATGAATCTAGTGTCTATCATGATGCTTTTGCCTGCCAGGCAATCTTGCAAGAAGTCACCCTGTCCATTGCAGAGGAATAGATAATAGATCCAATATTCTTTGATCCAGGATTGGAGGTCCGGTCAATTTTGCATAAAGCGCAAATAGAGTTAATGAATCAAGCCGGTCGAAGGCTTCTCATTATGCATTTTGCCAGATATACAGCGGATTCAATTAGTATGATCAACTCTTCTTCCGGTCTACTCATGATGCATTTCCAACTCCAGGTGGGACTCCCTTCGATGCCCTCTTAGGAGATGTAGATAGGAATCTGGGTTCGAGCTGATACCGGAGAGCTCCTCTCCGGGCGTCCTTTTCATAATTCACCCTTGTATTGGTAAGTCGTTACTCCGTCGTTACCCATGCTCCTCGAACAGGATCGTCGAAATTCTCGCTGCTGGAGAGAGCAATTACGAAGATGGCGTTATAAATATACACAATGGCGCTGGGGGATTCACGAATAGGACATCAAGGCTTTTGGATTATATCTTTGAACACAGGAGAACTTCGCGATCCATTCAGATGGCGAACATGGTAGTCGCACTACGAGCTCTATCGTCGACCTCCAAGCCAATCCACAGGATTACTGGCGGTCCCAAATTGATCCGTCTTGCGTTTCCAGAACCAGTTTCTAACTTTCGAATCCTGAACGATTTTGTTCCGGATATTCTACCATCCTCTGTAACAAGATACCCGGCCGTATTTAGCGTCCATATCTCGAAAACGTTATCAGACGACGAAATCACAGAGTTGGTCAAGTGGATTAAGGAGATCGGTAAGGGCCGCGGATTTGCGGTAAATGGGGCATACCGCACCAATTCGACCGTTGTCATACTCGAAACACCTTACAGCGTGTATACATAGCTGAGCTCCTTACCAGGCATTAACCTTATTCTTGAAACTATGAGCAGCAACCCGGACAAGCAGAGCGAGAACGCCTGTGAACTGGGCACTGGGAACTCTTCCAAATATTCTTGTTCTTGAAGCCCCTCGTGAAGTCTATGCTCAACTTAGGAATATACCAGGTGTGAATGTGATTTTTGAAGATATGAGCAGCAACAATCTTGCTTCCTCTCCGAGCGCTACGGAGTTGCCAGTTGCTGCTCATGAGGAGTTCCTAAGGGAGTTACACAAAGAGTCGGCGATAAATCCCCTGGAAAAGCCTCCAAATGAAACAAAAGGCAACTAAGCAGAAGTCAAGGGCGCGGGTGCGTATCTCGAAACTTTTAGTTATCTTTGTTTTGTAAAAACTTGGTATGGATGGGGCTGGGATTCAGCATTTAAACTTCCCCTTTATTCAACTCCCCAACCAGCGAACACTTGATCGTTTGTTGTATTCTTGTGTCCTTTGGCGAGAGAGTTTATATAGATACCTGCTATTACAAAGTGCTGTTAGGAGGGTATTATGATGCTATTCGCTTGAGTGTCACATGGTGAAAGATAATACAGGAAATGAGCTATGCAGTGTTAGCCCTATAATGATGTTTCCCAGATGTCCAGCGTGGGTAGTTGGCAAACTTCTGAACCTTTCCCAGGAACGAGGAAAGCTAGACTTGTGCCCGTAGTTCTTTTATCTCATCCAGATACAAATATTCAACCGTCATCAAGGCGAGAGATGCTCACTTATACTTAAAAAAAAAAAAAATTATTCAAACAACAATAGAAGACACGCACCGTTTGTCAACTTCAAGAACTAGGATATCAAGTCGTAAGAGAGTTTTACTGCTTCGTTTTATCTCTTCTTCTCTTCCTTCCACTTCAACCCCCCCCCCCCCCCCCCCCCCCCAAAAGGCCCGGTAAACCAAAAAAAGGGGAGGGGCCCCAAACGTTTTTTTAAACCTCGGCAACTTCATCCATGATCTGCACCAAACTTCGAACCCCAAATAGTGCATTCTCATCCGGCCCCTGGCCGGGCGTCCACTTCGCATGCGCAAAATCAATCAAACGTATATCGTGAACCTTATGTGGTATCTCATCTTCGTCGTCGCCGATGTCGATTTCCGTGTCGACAGGGAGCTGTCCCACGTACCCTGATTCCAGTTCCAATTCGTCGTCAGATTCTTCATCATTATCATTACCATTACCATTATTCTTATTATTTTTATCATCTTGGTCGTCTTTGGCTTCTTTGGCAAGGGCATCTTCAAGCGCTTCCGGATCCCCTTCATAAACAATCAGCACGCTGGCAGAATACATCCTGCTCTCCTCCGCCTCAAGGACCGCCTGTATAGCGCGTAGCTCCTCCGCTAATCTCCTAGCAACCAGCTTCGACCGGTCGATTTTGCCAGCCTTCGCGCCTGCAAGGAATTTCTCGAAGCCCTCCTTGACGTTGTCCACGTTAAGTGAGCGACCATACCACTTGTCATACCGTCTGTACCCGTCCACTGTTTCGACAATGACCCGCTTGGATTTCACCGTATCGTGTGATTTTGTCTGCGTGGTTCCCAGGACCTTTTCTTCTTTCACCGCACCCTCGTTACCCACCCACACTTTCATTCCGGCAATACGGAATCCCAACACGGAACTCGTAGTCTCCTTTGACACTTGGTCCAACCTATCTCTTTTAGCAGGAGGGGAATCATCCGCCCACAGCCTGACGCCAAGCTTCACATCCAATACGCTTGGTCGTTTAAATCCTGCAGCGATGTTCTCAAGGACTATGGAGACAGTAGTGTTGATTTTATGTCCCCTGGATGGGACCCATTCTTGCCCACTATTCGAGGTCGCAGGTACTAGGGCGGCGACAAGGTCGGCTTGTTTACGTAGCTGTGGGGAGAGAGGCGTATCTGTGCCGGATGAGCAGGCTGACGGGTCGGCATCAGCGGCCAAGGTCGCTACGCGATCGTTGCCTGGAATCTCAAGGGCAGCCTGTGGCGTACCGTTCGATAGGGTCCCGATGAATTTGGGCATAAATCGCCAGAAGCCAGGGTGCTGGGGCGCAGACTCGTAGAATTCTATTTCTTGGGGAGTACATGGTTTGGCGATTAATGAACCAGAAGGATTGCACAGGACACCATCACTGCAGGCATTTGAAGTTAGCGAATAGGATCCTTCGATTTTCCTCCTTTCTTTCTTTCTTCTTATGATGCTTTCCAGAAACTATATAAGACAGCTGTGATTATTCAAGAGAGGAAAGGAGAGAGATCTCCGAGTTTTAGGGGGGTTGGCGGTGGCCCGCCGAGATAGCAACGTACTGTCCAGCAGCAACGTGACCAAAGGCAACGAAGTTGTCTTCATCTAGTTTCGAGGCCTTGCAAGTCTCAGGCACTAGGGTAGAAGACATGACAATGCACGCAAAGGATCAAACTGTGTATATCAGGGCTGCCGCACAGCTTGGAACGGTATGAAGGAGACAGAAGATGAAGGGAAGCTTGCAAATCACCGCATTCCGCCACAACTTTTTTTTTTTTTTTTTTTTTTTTTTTGGAAAATAAACAAAGAGTAAAAAGCAGGAGAGCAGAACAAAGGAGAGAGGAAGAATGTGAAAAGGAATGAAAAGAGTTGAAGGGGGTGAAAGCCTGGTCTATATAGGGAGCGGGTTGGGAGTACAAGGGATAAATAACTCCGGAGCAGTTGGTTGGCAGCTGGTTGGTGACTGTTGATGGTGATACACGGGAACTCGGTCAGCTGTTGTTTTGTTGGTTGCTGAACGTAATATATCCTGCGTATGCGACGTGTATTAGGCACCCAGAAAGGCACAATGTCCGTGACAATACAGTATTTAATCTCGCAAACGAAGGTCATTGTAAATCCTCGCATCAGGAGTTTATTTTATTTGCTGCCACGCTTTTTAGTTATTTGACTGCTTGTTCAACTTTGAAAAGTAACTATTGATGTAGGGAGTGACCAGCTGGTTGGACCCGTCGGACACAGACATTTGTCTCCGGAGAAAGCAAGCAGCCATTATTCTACTACCACTCCTCCGCAAGAGCAATATTTTTTGTTTTTTGCGCGCGGGGTGGTTAAAGAAAGCATGCGGGATCTTCCCGACTTGAGATCCCGTCCATTGAGATCCTAACCTGGTCACATCTTCACAGAAGGGGATGCCCCTGTGGTGGGAGTCTTCAAACTTTTGCGTTCGGGAGAGAAAGAAAATGTTGAGTTTCAAGCCTGCCTGTGATATTGAGTGAGCAACGATTCCATGTCCACCAGTTCTACCATGCGGATATGTCTTGAGCACGATTTGAGAGATTTACATGCCCGAAAAATTTGAGATCGCTATTTGCTCTCTCTTAACGGAAACCCCCGCTGAATGCATTAAGATGGAGGGCAACGTAGACGGAGTAGCTCGTTCCACTGCCTTCTCAGGGGCTCTTTGCCCGGCATCTGGTATCCACCGGATACCTGCTGCAGTATCAGCACTTCAACCACATGCGATGCTGAAATAGTTTATGCGTGTTCCTCTCCCTCACTTTTTTCTTTTTTCTTTTTTCTTTTTTCTTTTTCTTTTTTTTTTTTTTTTTTTTTTTTAATATTTCTAGGGTTCTTTTCTTTTGACAGTGTTTTCGCAGTCAAAAGCAAAAAGCGGTAAGAATCCATCGAGATATTTACGCATGTGTCTGTCCGTAAACCTCTTAGTTGGTTCGTAACAAAAACATTATCAAGCATGTATTCCACCAAGTTCCTGTGCATTCTTCGGCATAGTTGCATAGCAACAGAAAACGCGAGGAAAGGTGCAACATCTAATGTTTCGTTGTGTTTAACTGCATTCACGCCGTTTGCAAGCTGGGGATCCCTTATCCTACCATCGTCGTGTTGCACTTCTTTCAACTTCCTTCAACTACTACTCCATCTCATTCTCCCTTTTCATACGTGACATCTCCTTAGCCTGTTTTACGCTCACTCACCTACTTACGACTGCACACTGCCTCTCATCCTTCAAGCCACAAAGGGCGTTGGTTTTCCCTGATGGAGAACCACCAAGCGATATCTCTTCCTTTTCGGGGCCAAAAATTACAACGTGACTCGGATGGCGAGCCTGGCAAACATGCTCATGATCAAACTGATGGCCAAAAGGCTAGTCTTGATGCTACTAACGATGGAAACACGGATATGGACGAGGTAACTTCTGGGGAAAATATCCCGGAGCAACAAGACGGCCCTGAGGATGTAGCTGAAGCAACCGTTGCGAAGAAGAAGAAGACAAAAAAGAGGACTAAGAAGAAGTCCAGAGGTAAAAGCAAGGTAAGCGAGTTCCTCCTTCACACCTCTGCCGAAATTATCTCCCAGGTTGACTGATGGAACGTGTTCCGTGATGATACATGCTTGGCAGGGAACCGGATTCGAAGAATACATTACCGATGGGCCCATCAGTGTCGCTGAGTATGAGGAAAACAAAACTCGTTACGCCCTGTGAGTTGCCAATGCCCAGCTACAGGATTCGAGGCTAATTAGATGTCCCATCATGAATAAGAACCATTTCTGTTATACGGTAGGCCATTTAAATCCCTATCATGGACAGTGCTCGTCAAAATATGCTCATTCTGAAAATAGGCGCCTTGAAACAGCCATCCAACGGTTCCAGGCAAAGAGAAAAATCAATTCGGACCGTAGAAATATCTTCACGAAGTTCTTGTCTTATGGGGGGGTCGATGTTGGACCCAAAATATTTGAAGGCAATGACCCGCATGACCTCATGGATAAGGACGCGGAGGATATCCTTGCTGTTACAGCTCAGTCCTCGGTCCCGACAAATCGTGTGGACTGGGATGTCGATTTTGAAGCGGTTGCAAAAGGATTTCTGTAAGTTGGCTCCTGTTTCATTTCAGCAGTACCTCTTACTGTTATTATTACTATTTCAATTTTTACATATATATTTTATCCATCCCAAATAGACACATAATAGAGCACCTCCTCCTGATCATCTCTCCAACATAGGTCATCCGTCTTGCCCCAGTACATCGGGCTGGAAACCGAACAGCTCGTTGATATGGCCACCGGCACCATCAGGAATTTTTTAAATTTCATCCTCTTACACGATGTCTGCCCTGAATACACCGAAAATATCCTAGCCGCACGCGTGATCTGCGACACCGCCAAGGTTGAGCTTTGGAAAGCGCAACAAGCAAGCTGCTGGGCACCGGGAAATTTCAACATGGCCTGTTCAACCCTGTTCGGTGGATCATATTACGGTTTCTATACTGGAGACCAGGAATGGAGCAAGGAAGTTGGAGCCACAGGGCTGCCAGACGATGTTGCGAGGAAGGTTGTAAAATTTGCAGTTGCCGGTGCAGGGACTTACGAGCAAGCTGTTCGTTTTCGAGACTTGGTCAATGAACAAAAACTGAAGGTCGCTTGTGTGAACGAGAATGGGTTTGAGGTTATTGCTATTACTCCACCGGAGAGCGCAGTTCGAGACTTCTACAAGCAGTATGCTCCAGATCTGCAGCCGGTAGGTAAACTTCGAGCAAAACCGTGGCGTGATCCCGGGCTTCCAGATGAGGATTTACCGCCCGGTCAGGTTGCCGAGGAATACCCTTCGCAGCCAGTCGAATACGAGTTCTTCGTCGAGGAGAGCGTGCTGAAATTTTGCTTCGTGGGGATGAAAGTCGACACGTCTATCTGGGAGTTAAACTGTGGTCTGCACTACTTTGATAAAGCAATTGCTGTATACTGCTCGTTTCACACCGTTTTATTGAATGAAAGTATGATTGGCTGGAAGAAACCTAGGGATCTCCGCTCTGATGCTGTGGTTTGGGGTAATTCGGGGAGAGAGTGCGGGGATGGGAACAGGGGAGGTGAAGACTCGGAGGATGAGGTAGATGATTAGCAGGCCTGCTGCCCCATCAGCATTGTGTATGCAACGGGACTTCAGGGTTTATGGGTGTGCCCGTGCTGACAATATCCAGGCTAGTTCTGACAGTTTATGTAACACCAAGGACCGACAAAATTCGTTTTTACGGAAATATGAACTGACTACTTATGTGAATACCCCTCTGCCTTTTATGTACTCCCTCGCTATCCTGAATATTTTTTCCAGTAACAGAATCAGCAGGTTTACCATTTAATGTTCGTTTAATATTGGAAAGTTAAAATGGCCCCAATAACCCAGTTCCCTCGTAACGCTCAAATGCTTCGTTGGGCAAGTCTTCTCACGGCTTGAGGAGGAGTTTCCCAGTTGTTTTCCGACTTTCGATATCCTAAAGTTTTAACGGTCAGATCAACTATACCAAGAGAGAATAACAAACAAATAGCAACAATCTAGGTACAAGATAACTTACAATGTGAGCTTGCGCAACTTCTTCTAAGGGGTAAATCTTGTGAATCCTAACTCGCAGCTGTCCGGACTCCAGCAAGCCAAACAGCTCTTCCGTATAATGATCAAATTCTGATTGTGTCTGGATATACGGGAACACAGTTGGACGGAGAATCTTGATATTCTTAGATGCCAACAACCTTCATTAACTGTCAGTAAGCAAAGATCAATCCCCGACGATCACCCTTCGTGATCAGATCTGCAGAAACAAACTGGGGGGATAAATGGTTCACATACTGTATCTGCAACGGCGGCACCGGCCCACTCGCATTCCCAAAATAAACCACCGTACCCTTCCTCTTCACAACCTGCAAACTCCCTTCCCACGTATCCTTTCCAACCGAATCAAACACAGCATCTACTCCTTCTCCTCCCGTCACCTCCTTTACCTTTTCCACCCAATTCGCCCCTTCCGCGCTCCTATAATCAATAACCACATCAGCCCCGAGACTTTTCACCAACTCCACCTTCTCCAGACCCCCAGCTGTGCCGATAACCTTCGCACCAGCCAACTTCACCAATTGCGTCATCAAAAACCCCGCCCCGCCCGTGGCAGCATGGATCAAAATCCAATCCCCCTTCTTAACCGGATACGCCTCCTTGGTAAATGTAAGCGTCGTAAGCCCACTTAGCAAGGCTGCAAGAACGTGCTCATCCGACAACCCTGCAGGAACCCGGGCGATATGCGCCTCAGTTAGGGCAATGGAGTACTCCGCATAGGCGGCCGTGCCCATCCATGCTACTCGTTCGCCTACAGCGAAGTTCTTCGGGTTGGGACCTGGGCCAACGGCGACAATGGTGCCGACTCCCTCACGGCCCAGAACCTCCGGTTTGGAAGATTTGTAGAGGCCTGTGCGAAAATAGGTGTCAATGTAGTTCAGGCCGGAGAGGTGGTTTTTTATCAGCACTTGGCCCTCCTTTGGGGTTGGGACGGGAAGGTCGGTTTTATATTCCAGAACTTCCGGACCGCCCAGCTTGGAGACTAGAACGCCCTTTTGGGCTGTTGCGATGGTGATGGCCATGGTGCTGAGTTGGTGTTCAGATATCAATGACTGCCGGTGGTGAACAGAGGGTATGCGTGGTGGGAGTTGTTGTAGGGTAGTGGGGAGGGCAGCGGCTTGAAAATGGCGTGACTGCCTTAGATACTTCCCCAGCGCTGAGAGGCGGGCAAAAGCCGAGACGCTTCGCATTCAGAGTGATATCAAACTGGCCACGACGGTGGAATGTTCAAGTTTGACTGAAATTGATATGTATTATTGGTGGTTTTAAGCAGCAAATTAACCAGCTAACTAATCCGAATGTTTCGAGTTCTTTGGTGCAGAAACTACTCTGAATCGATGACTTAACACAGCCCAATATGGCGACCCACGAACCTTTTAGTCGCCAGATACGGCCACAAATAGAACGAGGCTGTTCTAATCCCTTTCTTCACTTTGATTTGTAAAGGGGTGGAATTCAAGCCGATGAAGAGATACCGCCGGCATTGGCTCCTCCTCTAACACTTGGGAATCGGATTGCCGGCTTAGTCAGAATGCCGATATTGATCCCGACCCAACCGGGCCGAAAAAATAGCACCATGTTATTTTGGGATTCCTGGTCTTCCGCACCCCAAACAAATGATGAATGCATATCTTCCATCACACGAGGCTCGATCGGCTTTGGAAGCAAAAAGGACCACCCGGTAGCTTTATAAATTCACTGTTTACACTCATCTCGGTCCGAACTGTGGGCTGTCACGTGATGACATAGTTTTGAACTTCGTTTTCATTCGCAACATTCTACACCCTAAACCAACTTCAACATTCAAATGCGAGAGTAGAGAGATTTCTCACTCAACACATTTAGAACTTTATCCTACACCAAACTGCAGTTTTGTTTCGGGAAAGAATTGAATTCTTGGAGAAGATCCATTGAATCTGTGAGTGATTGCATGATATGTAGACCTGCTATTCTGCCTCCTCCCCAAAGGGACTTGCGCATTGAATTCCCTTCTAGTTATATTCTGTATCCTCTGCTTTCAAATGTTTGCAGAGGGTCAGAGTCAAAGATTTCAAGATTTCAAGATTTTTTTTTTTTTTTTTTTTTTTCATTTAAAAACAATAGTTAACGTTCAATTGCATCTGCTCCTCCTTTGGTTCACATATCCTTCCAGGTTAGGATCCAGGCGGAACAGAAAAAGTCCCCTTGAGAAAGCATCTGACGGGCCGTGGAACGAGCCCGCCAAAGTGGCATATTGTAGACCGGACTGTCTTCCCAAGAATTGACAACCCCTTCCTAGATCCCGATGAATTATATGCCGTATATAGAAATAACCCGTTGAGGCCTGGGTTGATCATTGATAAATGAGATTTCGATTTTTACCGCGTGTGTCTTTTGTCTCCTTTAATTTGTGCTCCGTCATCTTTGATATCAAGAAATACGCGGGGCATCTAGACATCATGGAGCCTTTTGTTATTCAATTCTGTGGTTATCATTTTAGATGATACTCTAACATTTAGTTATGCAAACAGTCTTATTTTTCTTGTCCTTTAGGCATATGTGTGATCAAATCTAAACCATGTTTCTTCTCACATAAGATGAGTGTGTGTATTGAGTTCTTCTTAGTGCAGGAAGCAAACAAATGCGGTTCAAATACAAAGCATCGAGCAGGAAAAAGAGAAGGGGCCGAAGCGCCATATAGGCTTACCCTACACCCAGCAAAAGAAAGGCACGTGAAGACGATGTAGATGGTGGGGTGGTTTTGAGAGAGAATCATCATAAAGATTTGTTCCCTGGCCAAATCAATAGAGATGAGAAGAGATGCAGAGGGAAGATACAATAGGGATATGCGAGGAGGACGTGCACGGCGGACTTGGGAACCAGAAGGGCCGCCTGTTAAAAATGGTGTTTTATAGATTGCGGGTTACAGCAGCTGGTCATGTTAGAAAGGGGATTTTTGCTTTTCTGAAGGGGAAATCTTCAAAATGGAAGTTCTTTGAAAACGAGTTAGTCAACAGTCAGTTTTCGTCGTAAAGGTTGCTTGTGTCTTCTAAATATCTGCTTCTAGTTCACCGCCTTTTGAAGATCTTCTCCCTGCTTGCATTTATTGATCCTTTCGGGTTATATGAGCTTGTCTTTCGTGCGCCGTGATGTGATGCAACGGTCAAATGCCAAGGACGGAGAGAACGTAGGAGCAGATACGGTACTGCTGCATGCCCAGCTTATGCAGGATAAATTGGCACCAAACCGATGAAATGCCCAGGCTTATGGACAACGTCTGAGAAGGAGATAGACTAACATGACTAGGATTAGCTGGGGGTCCGTTGCTGTGAACTGCTCGGATATTAAACGATTCTTTGGCTGAAAAGGAGGTATGGAACATCAGGGTGAGAATGAGGCGAGAATGCAAGCTGAGGTATCACACGCTTAAAAGCAAATAAATAAAAGCAAAAATCAAAGCTGAGGAATACTAGTTGAATGCTATAACATATGTCCCTATCAGAAGAGAATATGAGATATCAACAAAAAAAAAAAAAAAAGGACGTTGTTGGATGTTGGAAGTAGAAAAGGAAAAGCAACAGAACCATGGGTATCGATGGTTCGGACTTTGTACCCTGAAAAGATATAAAACACTTGTCTTAGCCGTATTTGCCGGTATGTTGGATATAATCACTTATAAACAATATTTTTACTTTCACCACGTGGAGAAAAGCCGAACTGTCGTTGTTGACTCCAGGGGATCTTGATATCGAACAGGACCCTTGGATGTCGTGCGTGCATATATGCCAGTGTATCCGATGTAGCTCAACAACTGGAGGAATGCGGCCAAAGAGCCGAGAGATCTTACTCATGGATGAGGCGGTCCTTGGTATAGAAATTGTGTACTGAAAGTAGATAGAGCGGGGAGAGAGTACAACACTGTACAAAAGTCCTTCTACCCGTTCGATTGATTAAGAGACATTACGTTCACATGCCATATCATCCATTTGTGGGACAGCCTGACAGGCCGTCAGGTATCTATAAGGCGTCCACACAACTCATGGAATTAAAACTCATTGGTGATTTGACAGCGCAGGCGTCCGATTTGCTACCCGATGCCATGTGGGTCTGAAATTTCCTCCAAGCTCATTGCAGGACCCAAAAATTGACACAGACACTGCATAAAGCTGTGAAACAGAGAGGGCGGATATTTACCGCGTCGCTATGAACTGACGGCGAACGCCTGGACCAGGGAGAATGGCGACTTGCTTTTGTATCCGTCTCCCATATTTGAATAGCTGACGCAGGCGAGAAATGGTGGGTAGAAGAGCCGAAGATTTAACAAGTTAACTAACTATTCTTCTTGCTCTGGTTAGTTAGGTTAACCAGATAACGAGTTGACTGAAAACAATGCCTGGGTTGCGAATCGAGCCCCAAAAATTATTTCCCGTGGTTGTACGGAGTAGTTATTTTTCGTTCTTTTGGGGATGACCTCCAAAAATTTTTGGAGTCACTGGACCAGACACCCAAGCAACCTTGTTGGAAGGACATGCAGGCATTCAGATGTTCGTTAGGTCGCTATCGACGCCATAGCCCGCCTGGCATCCCACAGTGCGGTGCCCCGTTATAGTGGACGCCAAACGCGACAGGCTCCAGGGCCGTTGTGCTGAGGGCATTCGACAGCAGCATCCAGCCTCTCGGACACAGCCTCGCCTGAATATTCCATCCACTCAGCGTTAGCGCTTTTGCAGGCACGATGCTGCGTGGTGTGCAAGCAGAGCATAGCGTCCAGTTGCCTTCTGCTATGATGTCTATCCAGCATAAGTCCTGCATGGCGAGAGAGAAATCGAGAAATCGAGAGATCCGGTCCGGTTATTCTGCGTTGTTGGTGGACAGTGGAGTAGTTAGTTATGCCTTAGCCCAGTCAAATTCGGGCGTTGACAGCTGGAGATGATTGCTCCACGAAGGCAACGTTGGAGGAAGCGCCCATTGAACAGAGACAGTCACAAACCGTAACAGCCGGGTGGGCGATGTTCTAGTGACATGTCCATGAATCTGCACCTATCACTAGTCACTTGTTATTCTCGTTGCGGATCTGCTTCCCCTTAGCCTCCAGCACTGCGCCCGGTCGATGTCATCTCCGCCGGCGGATGAAGGCGATTTCAAATAAGGCCATGAGCTAGGATCCTATCGTGTTGGTTTTGACTGCGACCGCTCCATATAGTGAGTGTGCCCTTGCTCATTTTCTCTTACTGCAGCGGGATCGGCAATTGAGTATGAAGAAACACCCTTTAATTCTACTAGGATGTGTATACACTCTCCCCAGATCTTTCTGAGACCAAATGAGGCATGGCATTTCCCATATCTACGTCTTGTTGTGCTTTAATCGGTTTACTAGTGGTCAGATGGGAAATCGAAGGATCGATTTTCTCGACATCGTTTGAAGCCCAACAAGCGCTGTGCCAGATTTTAACGATGCCTGACCCCCATGCACTTGGTCTGCGTTTCTGTATATAAATCCCGTATATGGCCATCTCTCCTGCTGCTTCTCGAAGCTTAAACGTCATACAAGCTCTCTCGATACTGACTGAATGTTCTCCGTCCTTAACCTGTCTTGATATAATTGTTGTCCTATTCCACGGTCCTTCATGCTGGATATCTCGAAATTCCCTATCTGCTCGGATCCTTCTGCCATCTGGATATTTAAATCTCTTCCTTAATTTCCATTCTGTGTTGCCGTTACCTTTTCGTGTGAGTTATGTGAGCCATCGGATTCTCCACGGTCATGTCTGATCTATAGGACAGATATAGGAAACCCACTCCCCTGGATATTAACCTCGCCACTTATGGATGCATCGTTGACAATTACTACATTTGATATATAGATCTTATCTCTTATATATCATCACTTGATCCTGTTTCCTATTTTCCTCTTTCTTTCAAATCTATATTATACAATGTCCTCCACGGTTTCCCTTGGCCGACAGTGGCCTCCCTCCCCTAGTGTTGAAGATGAATCTGAATCCCTCTCCCGCGAATTACTAGACCCATCGTTATTAGACATCATGTCGAATGATACCTGTGTGATCTCGAGGGGATCTGTAGATCAGTACCCCATTATCCTTCCCTCCGACACTCTCACCCCTTGCACAACACCTACGGATACTTGCGGAAGCCCAATAGGTTCAAGCTCCGGAAACGAATCATCCAGCGGAAATACCGGCGTTATTACCCCTCCCTACGCTCCAAGTCCCAGCAGTGATTTGGCAAGACAGCATGGGATGGGTACGTCTGCTCCGTTTTGTTCTGAACATGGAACATGCGAGCCCTCTAATGTGCCATCGGAAATTTCCCCTCGATCTGGAGCAAATGCGTCCTCTAGAGCTCCGCAGGTTCATCAGCCTTATAGATGCACAATCAATGAAGCCGAATACTCAGTGCAGCAAAAGCCGGGGCTAAGCAGACATTTCTCGGAGGGAAATGAAAAGCCTAGAATCCATGAAGTGGCCGGCAAGCAGGCTGAATGGCACAGTGATAATGAAGCACTCATATCATACAGTGGCCCAGATGCCTTAGACACCCCAAGCGCTGTTCCCATCAAGAAAAAGAAGAAGGTTAATTTTCAGCTTCCTGACGAACCTGCTACGGAAAGGTTGCCATGGGAGCGGAGTGCATTTGTTTCAGAACATGAGTTCGACCCTCTCTTCAGGCCTGACGAGGAGGAGTGCTCCTCCCGCCATTCGATCCAATACTATGAAGATGAAACGCCAATGGATAGCTATCATCCTGCCTTTGTTAAATATAGACAGGATTATACTTATCTTGCCCATCCTCAACCACTCAAGATTAACTGCAACTATGGTGAACCGCGAAGTCGAGTGTCGGGCTCCAAATCACCTGTTACATCTCCTCTGAAACTGACTTCGCGATCCCCGGCGCATTCGCCGCAACGACGCACTCCAAGCCCCACAGGGTACCGACTTAGCCCAATTACTCGAGCAGCTTTAGATGTGACCAAGACAATATTACCAATTTCCAACAAAGATTGCCGAGCAAGCACAAACTCTTCTCCCATCCGGCGCAGGGGGCCTTTCTTGTCCCCCCCTTTGCTGCCTTCAGGCTACGAAGTGATCGTCAGAAAGGCTAGCGACAGGCAATCTCACCGGCTTAGTGTGCCACTGATGCCACCACCACATCTTCTGTCCAGATCGCGAAGTTCAACGATTCCTTCGCAGGTGGTAGTTCGTCGTCAGCAACCTGACACAACGCCTCCCCCCAGTATTTCTCTAGCTCCCTGCCCCCGATCCATTCCCATGGCTGGCCATTTGGATTGGTACACCATCAAGGGCCTAACACATCTCGACATCTGCCCGTCCTGCATGAACCAAATTGGTAACTCTCGATTCCGCGATCTCTTCATCCCCAGCCTTCCAAAATCCCGAGATGCAAATGTCCGTTGTTCCTTCAGCCAGCCATGGGCGCGCCTCGCATGGGTCCAAACAATGAAATTGAAACTCAATCATCTCGAACTACTATACCACATCACCCGTCCACAGCCAGGAAGCCGCCCTTGTACCGGCCGTCTTCCATCCGTGCAACCCTGGTACCGCCTGTCAGATCCCGAAACGGGACGTACCGTCTCCGACTTCAACGCCTGCTCCGCCTGCTTCCGCAACTTGCAAATCCTCATGCCCTCGCTGCGCGATGCCTTCCGCTCCGGTTCCCTCGTCCAGGAGCGCATTTGCGATCTTCGCGTCGACAGCCCCCGCTTCGTCAGATACCTCGACCTATTGGATGACGCAGCATCGCGCAGCCAGTCCACACCACGCGGTCGACTGGACATGCGCGAATTCGTCCGATATGCTCGACGCAAGAGCATCATTCGGAACTGCCAACGCGACCATTTTGCCGAGGGTCCGTGGCACTATATCCCAGAATTGCCAGAGTTTACCATCTGCGAGGACTGCTATGACGATGTTGTACACGACCTTTCACACACGGGCATTGGCAAGATGGTTTCACGAACACCCCAGATGGTCCCTGGGTGTAGGAATCAGCCGTACACTTGCCAGTTATATAGTCCGCGGATGAGGACGGTGTTCCGTGCGGCCGTGCAGCACGGGGACTTTGACCTTCTGGCCACTTCTGCGCAGCGCAGACACGAGGCGGAGAATTCGTTCCGGGAGAGGAAGAGGAGGTTGTTGGATGACGTGGCGAAAGGCTACGACAAGGATGCAGAGCTGAGGTGGAATGCTGATGATTGGAGGAGGTGTGAATGATTGTTTATTGTTTTGTTAATCCCTTTCCCATTCCCCGTGTCACACTATTCCTTTTGTTTTTTCTGTTCCCCTGTTCGGTGTCAAATTACCTTCTATTGCATGGATCAGTTTCTGTTTGCCTTAGGTTTTTTTTAACGTATGAATTGCCCCTTCACGCGATACCTGTGCACATATGTCTTCATTTTCGGGTCCCGATTTTCCTCCTGTACTATGCAATCCCAGTCCTTCATTCATGTATCCATATATCCTTGAACCCCTTTGTACATCAACTATTCCCATCGTTGAATGTCCCCAACCCCTTACCCCTCCCAGAGTGATGTTGAATATATTACTTACCTCCTAATCGATCTGTAGCACCCTCATTACCACTTCCTAGCGTTTCAGTGACTCATCTTGTGTCTGGCTCTTTACCCTTCATAACATACCTATGACTTGATGTGATGGCATGACACGGCTTGACAAATCCTGTACAGTGTATTAGCAAAATAAAAATAAAAATAAAAATAAAAATAAAAATAAAAAATGTATAAATTATGGATGAAATCTAATTGTGGTATGCTGGAGTTCTTACAGCGAATAATACTCTCTTGAGGGCTTGGTCATTTAGGTCAATTGTACGACCTCCAAAAATATTATAAATTAGTATTGTTTTTGAATCATTCAAAACTCAAAAAATAACAAGTTTGAAAAAAAAAAAAAATTCATTTTCATTTATTCATTATTCCTTTATACTTCTACTTTCACCCTTACCCTCCACTCTCTAAAATCAACCTTGGCAACTTTCCCGATCAACCAACCAAACCAACCAACTCCCCCGGCCATTTCTTCCCCCAAATCATAGCTCTGCCCGGCACCCTCCCCCCCACAGGTGCCAGGACTCTAATCTTCGCCTTCTTCTCATCCACACTGGCGACATAGACGAAGCCCATGATGCTCGCGTCGCGGATCTCATTGAGCGGTGCGTTTGGCGCCGCATGGGTAACTGCTAGAAGGGTATTTTCTAGAGCTAGTGGGATGGGGGAGGTAGTTGAAGGCGGCAATTTCTTCAGGGGGATGGAGGCGTGTAAAGGTGATGAGGGTGATGTGGTGGAGGCAGATGAGAGTCCCGGAATGGGGAGGAGGGACGAGGATGCTGTGGTGGGGTCTATGGATTGTTGAAGCTGTTGCTGTGTTTGAGGATTCGTGCCGTTGTCATGGTCGTGGATGCCACCGGGTAGGAAGGAGGATCCGTTCACGCTGAAGGAGGAGGGGTCGTATTCGTCATCGTCGTCTGAAGTGGCGGTGATGGTGTAGATGGATAGGGAATCGAAGTCGAGCTGTTGTGCGTGCGGGGAGAGGGATATTGTTGTTCCTGAGGAGGTGGCGGAGAGGGATAGAGCTGAGGAGGCGATGGAGGGAATGGGGTTGCCGAAGAAATAGGAGCGGATTTGCCAGTCGCGGACGTTTTTCATGAAGGAAGCGTCGCGGTCGACGCTGCCTCCGGATTTCGTCACTTTGACGACGGAGATGTGACCAAGAGTCGAGGGACTGGTAGTGGAATTCGATGTGGAGGTGGAAGCGGAGATGGGTTTGTTGTCATAGTTTTTCACCATGGAGCTGTAGAGACGTTCAGAGCCGAGGACTAGGATTGTCGTGACTATTTTGCAGGCTACGTTAGTATAGAGAAATTGTTCTGAATAAAGCAGTACGGCTCTCCCATACCTGAAAACTCTGTAATAATATGATGTATAACATCGTCTCCCTTCCCTTGCCCAAGAATTCCAGGGGTATCGATAATAATCCCAGCTTCCTTTGCATCCCTATCCTCCACCAACCTCCCGGCAACCGCTAACGCCAGCCTTGACACAATAGGTTTGTACAGCTGACCCTCCGCATCCAGCGGACTAGACAGCCCATAAAAATACACAAGTGGTAGCTTGACAGGTATTGGACTAGGCCCAGACATAGGACTACTCCCCCATCCCTCCTCCACATCAATCATAGACCGGAACGCCGTCGCCGTCAAGCTTCCAGGGACACTCAGCATCCCCTCCGACGGGTCGAGATTAACGACAACAGGCTGTCTGTCCCTCTTCGTCGCATATCCCGTAAGGATCTTTGTCAAGCTGGTCTTGCCCGCATCCTCCGGTCCCAGAATGAGCACTCGCGGGCCTTCACAACCAGCTGCCTTGGCTTCCTCGCGCATAGTCTCAAGCGCGGCATGAATATTGACATACTCAGCCATGGGCGTCTCCTCCGCTATGTATTCCACCTGGCACCCGCCACTACCGGAGCCGGGAGATGGAGGCGTGCTGCCCAACCCGCCAATGGCGATGGGGTCGCCGGCGCTTACTTCCAACGTGCAGCCATGCCAAGTGTATATAGCGGCTTTGGTTCCGGCGAAGGTGTATGTTTGGGAGGCGGCAAGTTCGGTGCCAAAGAGCTCTGCGGTGCCGGCGAGGAGCTTTTGAGAATTGCGACCATGTCAGTTGGAATTGCTCGGCAGGATCAAGTTTAAAGATGCAAAATGTGGATGCCGGGTCAATGGCATACCTTTACTCTTACAATCCGGCCAAATGCGACTTCAAATCTCCATTCCGATCCCCTAGAGAGGCTATGTTGTACCGGGGCTGCCGGCTTACTCCGCTCTTCTACGGTAGCTTGGGTGAGCTCTAAGCCAGGGAGAGACATGGTAAAATCGAAGTTATGTTAGACAGGAAGATGAAAACAAAGGCATAATGGAATCCAAGCTCTGGAGATTGTTAGCTGCAGCTTTTTCGTGTGCATGCAGTCCCTCTGTTTATCTGCCGGTGATTGATGCGGCGCATTTGTTCAAGAGGGTCATGTGACTCCATATCTGATCAATCTTATCAATCTAGCGGCCCCACATGTTACCGTACATAATAACTTCAACAACCCCGGAATCTTCATTCTTTGTCGAAAACTTATTCGCTCAGCATTCCCAGGTAGGTTTTCTTTCTTCCTTCGACTGCTGTCTATCATTCTTCGTTGCCATGCTCTGTTCTCTCAGCCTTTCCAATTCTCCTCCAAAACTAAACGATCCAGCGACGGTCCAACCCCGAAATCTCAGCGAGCCTCCCAAACCCAAACAATGTGATCAAGCAAATGAACACAGGCTATAAGAGTGTGGATGCTGCTTCTGCTGCTGCTGGTGCCTTACTCAGAAACAGGTCTGCATGTCGGCTTACTTCGGAACCCCTTCACTCGCCTGACCCTCCATTGTGACACGACTGGGGGCGGCGATGAAGAAGAAGAAGAAGAAGAAGCAATCCTACATACATGGCAATCTACTCTATCCGCTTGAGCCACTGTTAGCCGGAGAGTTTTATCAAAGGTGACAAGTGATGAAAAAGGATCAGGTCACCCGGTCCAAATTGGAGCGAATTTGCTGAGGACCCATGGGTTGATCAATCCTCCACGATGACGCGGGGTGTCTTGAAGTCAAACAATGGCATTCTTAACAGTTGTGCTGATGAGATTAATGGGGGGGGGGGCTGTGGAGCGATACAGCGCTGACTTTGGTCATTTACGTGAAGCTTCAAACTTGAGCTCTGAGACAGATGCATCTCAAAGGCAAAGCGTCAAGCGTCAAAGCGCCTTGGAAGAAGAATGCCCCTCATTGACACGAGAGGGAATCCAATATAGGGATATTTTTTTTCTCTTCATCAATCCTTGATATTTTTTGGTGGGAAAAATGGGGGTGGGGGGAGGGGGTGCATTTTTGTATCTTCAATCCTTGCCCTGTGCCGAGTGGGTTTTTAACTAGAATAGAAACTCCCCCAGCCCAATGCGGTGCTCAACGCTTTTCTACAGCATGGTTAAACCCCACGTATGCTACGACTGTCTCCCTTGAGCGCTTGATTCAAGCCAAATGCGAAAGAAGTATTTTGTCGCAATCCCCTATCGTCCGTCGACTAACATGCATCCAGAACATACATACACTACACTCTACACTCAGATACATGCGCGTACCCTAGAACACCGAAATTATCCCCCCAACGACCCATTTTTATGGGTCGAACTCCCCAACCAATTTCCACCCAAACAGACATGTTTCCATCTGACTCAAACTGAATCATACGCAGTATGGAACTTGGTTGCAAGAGCACATTTTACTGCAGGGATAAGCACCTGTTCATGTCATGGGTAGCCTATGTCAATGCTAACGTCCCCAGGCAGCTCAGGGGGTATTGGTTCAAGAGTTGGCGAAGGCTGGGAAGTTTGGAAGGAAGGTGCCGTTTAGAGGGATGAATAGTATTAATCAGAAAGGGGGGCATATCTTTTCGCTCATTTACCGGAGAGTAGAGGGCGGCAAATTGGTACAGATTATAATGAGGTTAAGGTGACATATATATGGTTAGATAAAGTATAATAGGAGACAGAAAGAGTAGCATGAAAAATGGCAAAACAGAATGAATTATAATAATAATAATAATAAGAAAAAAAAAACCTGTACATGGGCAGGCATGTGTGGCTCATTTCAAAAGAGCAGAAAAATGAAAAAAGAAAAGTAAAAAACCAATTGTAATTCACAAAACATTGAAATAATAGCAGTTGATTTCAAGCGAAAAGTGAAAGAAAAGAAGGAAAAGAAAAAAAAGAAAAAGAACAGACTCGAGACACCAAAAATAACATCCATAATCCGTTGGTAAAATATACGAAAATAACGCAAAAAGGGAGATATGTGAAAATCAGACATTGGTGAGAGTAAAAGGTACTTAGAAAGTAATGGTTGTCAGGTTGTACTAATGGGGCCGCGGGAAAGGTCCGGGGGGGGGGGGGAAGATCGTAGGAAAAGGGCCCCGGGGAAGAGGGAGTTTTCTTAAGTAATAAAAACGACAGAAATATATTAAAGAGAGCCGCCTTTCGAATTTGCTCTGGAGAAACGAAAATAACATCTTCCAAGGCTGTGAAAAGGGAGGGGGGTAGGAGGTAAGAGGCGGGGAAAGGGGGATAGGGGGAAATAGGTTGAGTGTCGCATCACGAATGCTTCTCGAACCTTTCTTTCTTCCCCGTACTTTTTTATTGTTTATTGTGGATAGGGGTCCTTACTTATTTATGTATGGACAATTGAAAGGGAAATGTAATCCCGAAACTTTTCTTAAAAAAAAGGGAAGAAAAAAGGAAAAAA